GGTTGATATTTAGTTTTTCTTAACTTTTTAAAAGTCACATCAATTATAGTATCTTTAACAAGCAAAAAAAACATATACCACATGCTCTTAGAAGGTCGCTGTTCTTAGTAACTCGCACCACTTACCGAGTGACGGATGCAGTCGGGGGATGGGGTATACACCCTCAACCCCACCAGAATATATTTTAAACATATAAATATTTAAAATTATAAAGAAAGTTAAAGTTTGAAGTGAAACAAAATTTAAAAAATAACCAGGCCTCTATTCTGCCTTTATAGGTTTATAGAGCTGAATTAATTGTATTAATATGCGTTTCCTATTTTAAAATCATGCATAAAAAAACTGCTCAACACTTTCGGTACGGTAAAAAGTACGAATATAAAAATTATGCTAAATGAATGGCACAAAGCTGCAGTAAAAAAACCACGGGAACTCTTGTTGCTTATTATTAAAACAATTATTCTTTGTGGTAGACTTGGAATAGTATATCGAGACAGAAGAAATGATGGCATTGTTTGTCTTGAAATAAATAATGGTCTTATAAAGACAAATGTAAACTTTAAATGCTGTTGGTTTTTCGCATTAATGTTGGTTACAAAGGTTTAGAATAACATTTAAAAAGTTCAGATTAAAATACCACATTTATTTTCGAAAAGGTTCAAAATGAACTAATAACCATTTGTGGTCAAATTATATCAATAAAAACTATTAGACAAGCTAAAATTGTTAAGTATTTTTCCGCAACTTCAGATGAAATAACTGATATTTCTCATTTAGTTGCAATAATGTGTGTGTATCTGTTTTGTGTGTGTGATAAATGGTTTTCAAAGAAAAAATTTTAAATTTTAGAAAAGCTGATCTTAATGGAAAAGGGTTGGTGGACTGACTATTAAAATTCATAAAGAGCAAATCTTGATCTTTTTGTACTTAGTTGGTCAGAATTATGATGGTGCATCAGCTATTTGTGGCTGTTGTAATGGTGTCCAGGAGCACGCAAAACGGCTGGCTCCATTTGTAGTTTTTTTGAGATTTAAAGTGTTTACATTATACAGCATAATGGGCATACTGACGACTGAAATGTAAAGAAGAAGTAAAGTTTACAAAGATGTGTCAGCGCAGTTTTCATTTATTAATAACCTTCAGTTAAGCGAAGATTTCAAAGGCTGTCATACCTTAGTCAGTTTTTACCAGGAAGATCTCAGCATGGACATCGTTGGAGAACTGCAGCAGTTTCATAAGTACCTCAGCTCAAAGTTTCAGGGGAATAAAAGTGATTTCACTTATGCTGAACTGTATGATTTTATTATTCAAGATAAACTTCGTAGTGTTTTTCCAAACATGGGTATTACAGTTCGCATTTTCATTACCTTCATGCCAACAAATGTTTCTGCTGAGCAATCCTTTTCACAGCTTAAGAGACTCAAAAACCCATGTAGAACAAGAATGAAGCGGACTCTCTGTCTCTACTCTGCATCGAAGCAGATATGCTTGCTTCAGTTGGCTTTAACAATATAATCAACGATTTTGCACTTTTGAAGTCTAGGAAACAAAATGTCTGATTTATAATAATTATAACAGTTACTAGTAGTGTAGTAGTTTTGTAACTGTTTACATCATACTCACACGTTTACAACTTGCATCATCATAGTAACATGATGTGTAACAGTGTGATGTATAGATTATAGCATGTGTATATAATATTGTAATAAATATTAATGTTACGCAGCAACTTGCATTTACCTGCTATTGGTTGGTTATGTTCGGGCACCATACTTAGTTAAGTGCTTAGGGCCCTTGAATATGTTAATCCAGCCCTGTAATTGATAATAATTGTCTCCATTGATAATGAAACTCTGCTCTTATTGAACTGTAGTTTAATGAGAGTGTTTTACTTGTTTTTACTTTTCATGTTTACTTCATCATCATTGCAAATCAGAACCAAGGTGAATTGTGATACTTCAAGTAATAAAACAAAGAAAAGAAGAATGGCGCCATTAGTTGTATCTTTTTCATCAGCTGAACTATTGTTTTCATCGAATTGTAGTGTGCATTAAGATGGTAAAGAAAAAGAAGCTAAAGCTCCTTTATAATTATCAGAATATATGAGATTTGATATGAAAAATAACTTTAAAGTAAAATTTTATATTATTATATACACAAAAATGTTAGTACTTTAGGTTATTTTTTATATTTATTATGTAGAAGTTTCATAAAATATAAAAAAGAACCTTTGAACTACATATAAAAACCTAAAATTAGTAATTGGATATGTGCCTAATTTTTTAAAAGTATAAAACAATTTTTAATTAGAATGCCACATTAATATTAGTCTTGTTTATAATTTTGATGTTTTAAGAAATTCAAGCTAATAACTATGCAAAATAAACCGTTGCCAGGCATTCACGATCAACCAAATAAAAAATCCTTAGTACCACTACATTTGTAGTAATTATGGAAGTAATCCGATAAAGTTATTACTTTAGCCCACTTTATCTTTAAGTTTATCTTTTTGCTGAGCAATTTAGGTATTCATAGCAACAATTAAAACTAATGTCTCGATTGAAACCGCTACTCTCAGATTAGTAAACAGTGCAAAAATGGTCCGTAAATCTATAAATTTTATGCGAGCCACAAATAATAGCTCATGAGTTCAATAAATATTTTGTTGAAATTAGCCCAACCTTAACGGATAAAAAATCAATTACCAAAACTTCATTTTATGATTTTTTTAGTACGTTATGATAAAGGCAATCGCTCTGATGAATTATCGTACGAATTATCCTTTGAAGAACTTAATAAAGCTTTTAAATCCTTTTAAAAAAAAATAAAGCAACTGGACATGATGAAATAAAAGGAAATATATATTTATATATGTTATAGATTGCTATGAACAAATTAAAAATGTTCTTTTTAAAATCTTCAATTTTTTTAAAAAGTATCCATTCATCAAGGAACTTTCCCTTTTCGTTTAAAAATTGGAAAAATTGCCCCAATCCTTAAAAAAAGCAACAGATCCAAAATCAATAATTATTGCCCCATCTTCACCCCAACTACATATTCTAAAATCTTAAATAAATAAATATATATATATATATATATATATATATATATTTATATTAAATGAATAAAAACAACTTTTGATGGAACTCTGAGTTTCATGCCTTTCGGCAATCATCAGCCATTGTGTATCATCAGCCATTGTCGTCACTTAAAAACCGTTTAAAAATTACAAATTAAAATTACGGTGGAACGAGTTCTGACGTTACCAAACAAAACAAAACAAAACAAAAAGACGTCAAAGGTTTTAGTCCCCGGTATCAAATAAGGAAAGTAAACATTTTTTTGAATGCCGGCACTTTGATATTATCTCATATCTTTTATTAAGTAAGTATTCTCCTTTATATGATAATATGTGAAACTTCTCGCGGAGACAAAGATTACAAACTTTTGATGCTTGATTGTAGGGCAACTTTGATTTTTTCAAAAAATCAAAAAGCATTTTACACATATTTTTAAAAGTAACAACCTACTTATCTCCATCCAATGTAATATTAAAATTGTCAATTTTCTTGATGTAACATTGAACCTGATTGACAGTTCTTATCAACCGTATTGTAAACCTAATAACCAACTTATGTATGTTCATTCAGAGTCAAACCATCCACCTAATATAATAAAAGAAATCCCTCGCACTATTGAGTTAAGATTATCGAATATGGCAGTAAATGAAACTGTGTTCAATAACTCAATTATTCCGTATGAAGAGGCTTTACGTAAATCATGATACAATTCAAAACTCACCTACCAACCGCAAATAAACAAAAATCAAAAAAGACATCGCAAACGTAAAATTATATGGTACAACCCCCCGTTTAGGGGCGTTGTACCATATAATTAGTTTCAAAAAAAATGTTGAAACTAAAACTGGAAATCGCTTTTTAGCTTTAATTGACCAACACTTTCCAGTAGGACACAGGCTTCATAAAATTTTTAATCGAAACTATGTTAAAGTAAGCTATAGTTGCATGCCTAATGTCAAGTCTTTAATAAATACATAATAACAAAATTTTACATAGCGATAAAAATAAAACATCAAAAAAATGTAACTGCATAGACAAAAATATTTGTCCGTTAAATAACCAATGCTTTTTTAGCAATATTGTATACCAAGCCACTGTAAGTTCTGGTGATCCTCAATGCAAAGATAAAGTTTATTTCGGTATAAGTGAAACCACATTTAAATTAAGATATGCCAACCATCTTAAATCTTTCAATGCACCCAAATATAAAAATGACACTGAACTTTCCAAAAAAATATGGGAGCTAAAATCGAAACATATAAATCATCCTGTGATTACATGGAAGATAATAGCACAATGTAAGCCCTACAATCAAGCATCAAAAGTTTGTAATCTTTGTCTTCGCGAGAAGTTTCACATATTATCATATAAAGGAGAAAACTTAATAAAAGATATGAAATAATATCAAAGTGCCGTCATTCAAAAAAATTTTTACTATCCTTATTTGATACCGGGGACTAAAACCTTTGACGTCTTTTTGTTTTGTTTTGTTTTGTTTGGTTACGTCAGAACTCGTTCCACCGTAATTTTAATTTGAAATTTTTTAACGGACGAAATACACAATGGCTGATGATTGCCGAAAGGTTGTGTTTAGATCATATCCCATTAGGAACGATTATTTATATTTGCGTATTTTTAATTGCAAGGTAGATAAAAGCTTAAAAAAGCAAGCGAGATAAAAACAATAGTTAAAATTGCGTTACTAGCGTTGGCTATTCGGATATTATTAATTTTAACACCAAAT